TCAGACATGCTCCGCTTACCTTGTTGGATTCCAAGCACAGACTTTCTCTAATAAACTTACATCTTTCATTTTTTATACAGATTGAGCAACTGTGGTTTGTCAGAGATCAGCTGTGATTATCTGGCAGCAGCACTGAAATCCAACCCCTCCCATCTGAGAGATGTGGACCTGAGTAAGAACAACCTGCAGGATTCAGGATTGAAGCAGCTGTGTGATTTTCTAGAGAGTCCAGGATGTGGACTTGAAACTCTGAGGTCAGTCACCATGTTTTAGTTTTGCTGAGATGAATATTATGTGAAAGTTATGCATTCATTAAACTGCAGACATAAGGCTGATATTATACTGATGCACCACACCACAAACCACAGGGTTCAGTGCTAGGACCAATTCTGTTTACATTATACATCCTTCACTTAGGCAACATCATCAGAAGGCATTGCATACATTTTCACTGCTATGCAGATGACACCCAACTTTATCTGTCCATGAAGCCAGATAACACACACCAATTAGTTACACTGCAGGAATGTCTTAAAGACATAAAGACCTGGATGACCTCTAATTTTCTCCTTCTAAATTCAGATCAAACTGAGGTTATTGTACTCGGCCATGAAAATCTTAGATATATGGTATCTAACCAGATTCAAAGTCAAAGTCAAAGTCAGCTTTATTGTCAAAAACCATATGTACAGGTCATACAGGAATTTGAAAATGCAATGCTCCGACAGTGCTCACTAGGTCTTATGTACAACTCAATACAATACAATACAAAATCTTACATAAACAACAATGTCCAACACAATCAGAGTGCTTGTGAGCAAGAGTTTGTTTGCAGGTAGGGGTGGGGCAGTCAGTGAAAAGGAGATGGTGGAGGTTCAGAGTTTTGTATGTCTGGGGGGAGGTCGGGGTTCAGAGGGAAGCGGTGGATGCAGGTCTGGAGTTTGTGTGTGTGAGAGCAGGGAGTGAATTATTTGATGAATAGGTTGGAGCTGTGTGATGGTGTGCAGGCATGGGTCACCAGAGTGAAGAGAAGGGGGCTCAACACACATCCTTGGGGAGCCCCCGTATTCAGTCTTCTTGTGCTGGAGGTGTTGCTGCCGACCCGTACTGTCTGCTGTCTTCCTGTCAGGAAATCCAGCAGCCAGTTACACAGTGAGGTGCTGATCCTCAGCCGATCCAGTTTGTGAATGAGTTGCTGGGGAATGATTGTGTTGAATGCTGAACTGAAGTCTGTGAAAAATTTTCTAATGTATGAGTCTCTAGTGTCCAGATGTGTGAGGGCTGAGTGAAGGGCAGTTGGAATTGCATCATCAGTCGAGCAGTTTGACCGGTATGCGAACTGAAATGGATCCAGGTTGGGGGGAAGAGATGTCTTGATTTGATGCATGACTAACCGTTCAAAGCACTTAATAATGATGAGGTGAGTGCGACCGGATGGTAGTCGATGACTTCTTTGGTACAAGAATGATGGTGGAGGCTTTGAGGCCTGTGGGAGCGACAGCCTGGCTCAGTGATGTATTAAAGATGTCTGTGAAGACATCTGTGAGTTCCGCAGCACAGTCTTCTGTGCGGGGGTGTAGTTCTGTGCCTCAGCAAGCGAAGAATTTGTTTAGCTCATCTGGTAAAAAGGTGGAACTGACAGCTGTCTGCGGAGTGGGCTTGTAGTCTGTGATGGTTTGTATTCCTTGCCACAGCCTCCGAGTATCTCTGCTGTCACTGAAGCTTTGCAAAATCCTCCTGGAGTGCTGCCTTTCCACCTCTCTGATGCCATGTGACAGGTTTGCCCTTGCTGTTCTTAGGCTCACCTCATCCCCATCTCTGAAGGCTGCATTTCTCACCCTCAGGAGCCTGTAGACCTCATCTGTGAGCCATGGTTTCTGATTGGCCTGGACAGTGATAGTCCTGGTCTCTGTGACATCATCGATGCATTTTCAGATATAGGCAGTGACAGTTTCTGTATATTCCTGAAAGTCTGTGGTGTTGTCGTGTGTGGCAGCCTGTGGTGGAAAAGCAGTCTTGCAGTGCCTCTGAGGACCCTTCTGGCCACACACGTACCTGCTAACAAACTGGTTTGGTGATTTGACCAGGGGCCTGTATGCTGGCATTAGCATAACAGTGATGTGATCAGAGGCACCAAGGTGGGGGAGGGCTTTGTAATCTCCACTCTGGGTGGTGAAAACATTGTCCAAAATGTTGTTTCCCGAAGTGGGAAATTTAATGGGTTTGTGCAGTTTGGGAAGCACAGTCTTTGGGTCTGCATGATTGAAATCATCCGCTAGGAAGAGAAAAGCATCTGGGTGGGCTGTCTGCTGCTCACTGACATGCTGATACAGTTCATTCAGTGCCTCACTCCTGGGGCAGGGATAGCTCAGTAGGTAGAGTGGTGGCCCCATGATCGGAAGGTCGGGGGTTCGATTCCCCTGAACAGCTACCCTGAGGTACCCCTGAGCAAGGTACCGTCCCTACACACTGCTCCCCGGGCGCCCA